AAAAAGGAAATGAATAATTTTCTTCCAAGATGTACTATATACTCTCGGTTATTTCTTGTTCCTGAAACTGAAAAGAACAAGAACCGGTTTGAACCGGGTGATGCTCCCCGAGAAGGTTCTGCGACACAGGAAAGTATTAAAAAAAATGAACAAAGGGCAAAAAAAACTCCAAAATTAGGCAAAGCGGAGTTATGTTTTTTGCACTGCACTTCTATTCAATGAGATCTATCTATCTATAAAGTTTCCTGATGATATCAGAATTATGTCCCAGGTAAAAGTCAAAGTGTAAAAATGAACAAAGGGCAATAACTCCAAAATTAGACCAGGCTTTGTTTAGGTTCTTTAAGCATTGCAATTCTGTTCTAATTATATCTAGCTACCTACAAAGTTTCATGTGATATCTCTAATAGTTTTAAAGTATTGTCCAGGACAAAGTCAAAAAGTAAAAATAAACAAAGGGCAATTACTTCAAAATAAGGCAAGGCAGAGTTACGGTCTTGTGCACTGCATCTTCCAAACCCAATGAGACCTATAACTATCTACAAAGTTTTTCAAATGTTGATATCTCTTATAATTTTAGAGTAATTGTCCCAGACAAAGTCAAAGTGTCAAAATGAAACAAAAGGGCAATAACTCCAAAAGTAGGCAAGGCAGAGTTACCGTTCTTGTGCACTGCACACCTACTCAATGAGATCTATCTACCTACAAAGTTTCATGTTGATACCTCTTATACTTTTAGAGTTATGTCCCGGACAAAGATCAAAGTGTAAAATAAACAAAGGGGGATAATTCAAAAATAAGACAAGGCAGAGTTACCGTTCTTGTGCACTGCACACCTACTCACTGAGATCTATCTACCTACAAAGTTTCATGTTGATACCTCTTATACTTTTAGAGTTATGTCCCGGACAAATTTCAAAGTGTAAAATAAACAAAGGGGGGTAATTCAAAAATTAGGCAAGGCAGAGTTACGGTTCTTGTGCACTGCACACCTACTCAATGAGATCTATCTACCTACAAAGTTTCATGTTGATACCTCTTATACTTTTAGAGTTATGTCCCGGACAAAGTTCAAAGTGTAAAATAAACAAAGGGGGATAATTCAAAAATTAGGCAAGGCAGAGTTATGGTTCTTGTGCACTGCACACCTACTCAATGAGATCTATCTACCTACAAAGTTTTATGTTGATACCTCTTATACTTTAAGAGTTATGTCCCGGACAAAGATCAAAGTGTAAAATAAACAAAGGGGGATAATTCAAAAATAAGACAAGGCAGAGTTACCGTTCTTGTGCACTGCACACCTACTCACTGAGATCTATCTACCTACAAAGTTTCATGTTGATACCTCTTATACTTTTAGAGTTATGTCCCGGACAAATTTCAAAGTGTAAAATAAACAAAGGGGGGTAATTCAAAAATTAGGCAAGGCAGAGTTACGGTTCTTGTGCACTGCACACCTACTTCAATGAGATCTATCTACCTACAAAGTTTCATGTTGATACCTCTTATACTTTTAGAGTTATGTCCCGGACAAAGTTCAAAGTGTAAAATAAACAAAGGGAGATTTAATTTCAAAAATTAGGCAAGGCAGAGTTATGGTTCTTGTGCACTGCACACCTACTCAATGAGATCTATCTACCTACAAAGTTTCATGTTGATACCTTTTATACTTTTAGAGTTATGTCCCGGACAAAGTTCAAAGTGTAAAAATAAACAAAGGGAATAATTCAAAAATTAGGCAAGGCAGAGTTACGGTTTCTTGTGCACTGCACACACCTACTCAATGAGATCTATCTACCTACAAAGTTTCATGTTGATACCTCTTGTTGTTTCAAAGTTATGTCCCGGACAAGAAAAGGGGACGGACGGACGGACGGACGGAAAGACGGACGGACGGATGGACGGACGGACGGACAAGGCGGCGACTATATGCTCCCCCGAAATTTTTTCGGGGAGCATAAAAATGTGAAGGTGGTAAACATGTGGCCTGGGCAAGCCCTGATGTACGCTGTTAATCAATGTATGCTGGATATACGTGAAAATGATGCTTTTCAGAGCTTACGTATCAATTAAACGTACCTGTAAAAAGATATGACACGTGAATCATTCAAAATCTATCAAACGCGAGCTTAAGAATAACTCAGGTGCATTAATTCTGGAAAACCTGTCGTATATACACTTGATATCGGTTGGTATTGCATTTGACAGTTTAATTCAGAATTTACCATAGTCTTCCTTAAAATTCCTGAGCATTAAATAATTTTCAGAAGCAATTTGACGACATCGCTTTGTACGAATTTTCTTTAAATATGCTGCATCATGTTTTAACTTTCATGTGTTATAAGCAGAAGTTGCTAGTGGCTATCAAGAAATGAAGTATTAATTAATAATAATAATAATAATATCTTTATTTAAAGAAGGTTACACATTAAGAACATACAATAACAATCATATATATCTTATTTCCAATGTGGCCTTCTGAAATAGAAAACAACAACAACAACGACAGGACACGCATAGGTAGAAAATGAATGTATAGTATGTAATTTTTAGAATAATACAACACATATAATTTCGACAGACACTCAACTATTTGTTTAAACATATACGTATATTGCATCATTCGTTCGTTCATTCTTTCGTTCATTTATAAATTAATTAATTCATTCATTCATTCAATCACTCACTCATTCATTCATATGAACATCAAGATATGCTTTGTATTTTTCTTTAAAACATTTAAGGTTATTAAAATTACGAACATTTAAAGGTATATTGTTCCAAATGATCATGCCATAATAAGAACATGTGTCTTTAATATAATTTGTTTTAGGTCTTGTCCATAATACAATATCTTTTCGTGACCTAGATCTTAAGTTATATATTTTGTTGTCGGATAAAGTCATAAGTTCTGTCATATTAGTCGGTGCCATGTTATAGCACCGCCGTGTGGTATTTACATGTCAAGGAACGGTAACCAGTAAAGAGTTTCGAATAGATTTATTGACGGAGATCTTTGTGGTTGCTGTAAAATGATTTCAGCAATTCGTTTTTGTAATTTACAAACATTATTTATGTAATTCGTGTTTCCTCTACCCCATATAACACAACAATAGTCCATAATGGGCAATATATATGCATTGTAAAACAATAATTTCATATCAAAGTGCAAAAAATACGATATTTTTTTCAATAAGGCAATTTTTCCGTTATGTTTTTTACAAACATTGTCAATTTGCATGTGCCATTTTAAGTTGTTATCTCTGCAAATACCCAAGACTTTTTGATCAGTTACATTTTCAAGAGCAATTTCATTTATCTCAAGATTCAATTTTCTCATATTATTTACTTTTTGTCTTGTTCCTATTACCATACATTTTGATTTATCTGGATTTAAGGCCATATTATTTAATTTGCACCATTTGTCAATGTTATTTAAAATATTTAGATCTTGAAGTTTTATTTCTACTTTTGATATATTTTCTCCGGCCTCATAAAGAGTAGAATCGTCTGCGTATAAATCAATTTTTATATCATTACCAACGAAAGCTATGTCATTTATGTATATTAGAAATAATAAAGGCTAATATTGAGCCTTGTGGAACACCGGAAATTATTTTCATTGTCTGAAATTGAAGATTACCTATCTTAACCAGTTGTTCTGTTAGAAAGATATGACTTAAAAAACTTAACGGCATTTTCAGAAAAATGATAAAGTTTAAGTTTATGTAAAAGTATTTCATGTTCAACCAAATCAAAGGCTTTCTTTTAGTCTAAAAATACAGTCCCGATAATTTTTCCACTGTCAACATCTTTTAACAAAGTATCTATTAAACTAATGAGTGCATTATTACATGAATGATTATTACGAAATCCTGATTGTTTATTATGAATTATGTTCGTCTTTTCAAAGAATGAGTGTATTTGTTTGGCAATATGGCGCTCAAATATTTTGGATATAGTTGACAAAATTGATATCGGTCGATAGTTATTTGCTTCATTCTTATCCCCCGATTTAAAAATAGGTATAACTCTAGCTCTTTTTAAATCATCTGGGAAAATATTAGATTTAATACTATTATCGATAATTGATGCAATTATTGGTGTAATATAATCTCCACAATATTTGATGATGTTTGGTCCGATTCCATCTAGTCCTGTAGATTTTTTAATAATTTATTACTGTGTTAATATCTGAATGCTTGGTTTGGAACTTATTGCAATAGGATTGCCAAAGCTTATATTATTTTTTTCCATTTTAACAACTTTCGCCAAATGATATATTTAGTTATATTAATCATCCACAAATAGCTTCAAATGTCTTTTATAGAAAAGTTATTCAAACGAAACGAAGTTATGTAGAACAAATTATATATACGATACTTTTCAAATATAATTTTTGAATTTAGTAGAATCGAGATAAACACTCCCTAACCTCCCTAAAGAACGCCCAAAACCAAATTTAAAATGTTGCAAGCTTCTAATTGTGACTTATACGGCGGTTATCATGGAACTTTCAATGTGACACAATAGTGCCATTCCATGAAAAGCAGCGTATGGTCCGCAAGTAATAAAAAGCTTTTGTCCTAAACGAGAAAACAATGGGCGGAACTAAACAAAATCACATCACCATATAAAAACTAGACTGGCTAAACCCTTGTCGCAAGTGTTTTGAAATCACTATTGAATTTTGATATTAAATCAAAATTACGATTGAAAAAATTGTAAAATATTTCCGTAATTTATGATAGCGGTAGCCCCGTTTAAGAAGCTTGCTGGTAATGAAAATATTCCGCCGTTTGAAATCCTTTACGTTGCTACAAGCTCTTGCAAATATAATTAACAGAAAAAAATTTAGCCAGTAAGATGTTGCATGGGGTACGTCTCCATCTAAATGTGGATAATGAACTATACAAAAGTCAAAGTCCTCTCTTTTATCATAGATTTTCGTGTGAATTGTTGTTGACAGTAATATGAAGATCCACAAATAATGTACTAAAGTTCGTTTTATTTAGTAGTATTTCATATATATCAGACACCATTTTATAAAAATAATCTAAATTAAAATTATCATCAAGGTATCTTGAAGTATAATTCAATGCTACTATAGCATCTTGTTCAGTATACTTAAAGAGACCCAACATGAAGTCTCTTTCATAGCAGCACAAAAGAAATCGACGACCAGGGGTGCACAATTAGTACCCAAATGAAGTCCTATGATTTGTTTAAATAGGGTATTACCAAACCTGACATAAATGTTTTATAAAAGACAAGAGAGTGTTCTACAAAGTTTGTCACAGGTCCACATAGTATGTTTAACAATACCGTTAGTGTTAGAATTACATGAAAAAGGTAATTTTTTCCTGTGCAGAAGTTTTTTTTAATTAGGGAAATTAGTTTATCATAAATAAAGTTATGTGGCAACGTTGTAAAAAGTGTAGAAAAATCGTACCGACTTACAATTGACGCTAGATAGTTCTTAATTTTGAATTTGTCAAAGATGTCACCAATAATAGACCAAGAGATGTTTGCCTGTGTTTTAAAGACTTTTCACAATATCTAAGTAATGTACATGTGTTTAATGGCAGTCAAACAACACGTCAATTAAATAGAAAGTTTACTTGTAGTGCAAGATGTAAAATTAGCAATGAATCTGGCTTTGTGAGGATTTTATGTAATTAAGGAATCCAATACATAATAGGAAGCTTGAGTTCATGAACCGGCTCAATCAAACCGAGCCTGCAACATTTTCAATTTTGCCGTGTTGGGCTTTCTTTCGGGATTCTGTTTTTCTCTATTTTAGAATACGCATCAATACTATTCTGTTCCTTGTGCAAAACGTTAATGTAATGGATACGTCATACAATTTTAATATTATTAACCGCCTTGTCCGTTAGCACCAAAGCAAATTTTAAATGAAAAGCCGGAAAATCCTTTTACAGATGTCTTAAAGCAACCTTGAAACAAAGTGATCCCTCGGAAGCATTAATCACAACAAAATTACATGAAAATAAGTGCACCATTAACCGGTGTATACTCCCCAGCTGACCGTTCCAAGGCGGCGTCCCTCTGTGTTCCTCAGATTTATGTCTATGTTGTTTCATACTGTTTTGGTGACACTTGTGTCCCTTGTTGTTTTCTCGTCTACGGTAAGTATCTTCCCCTTTGCCCCTGGTTTTTATGCCCCCCCCCCCTTCGAAGAAGAGGGGGTATATTGTTTTGTTAATGTCGGTCTGTCCGTCGGTAGACCACATGGTTTCCGCTGATTATCTTGAAAAGTATTTATCAATTTATCACAAAGCCCACAGACACTTGGGGTTTGGAGCTCAAAACGCCTTTAAAATCCAAATAAAATGCATATTTGTCAATCCCAGCACATGTACTGATCATATATATCAAAAAAACTTAATATAAGCCGTTTTGAAAAAAAATCATATTTCAACATCTATAATAATACACAAGATAAAAATGTTCGCCGGAAAAAATCCGCACCCCTACCGTCATAATCACCATGTATTTTAATCCATTTCCAATATTTTCACATAATCCTTTGGTCCATCGACACAGAAGATATAATTCTTCACGATGATGGTCAATTTTAAACTTCAACGGTAATATAAACAACGCAACAGCCGAAATAAACATCAATATTCTCGCCGTTTTTTTTCAACGACAAAAACCTTCGATAAATTCAATGGACCAGACGGCTATGAACGAAGCTATCCGATTATGTGGTTCCCAAACTTAAAAGCGCTGCGCATTTTGCACACGGCAAAGCTGGGGCCACATAATCGGATAGCTTCGTTCATAGCCGTCTGGTCCATTGAATTTATCGAAAGTTTTTGTCGTTGAAAAAAAACGGCGAGTATATTGATGTTTATTTCGGCTGTTGCGTTGTTTATATTACCGTTGAAATTGACCATCATCGTGAAGAATTATATCTTCTGTGTCGATGGACCAAAGGATT